GAAGGTCCCCCTAACAATGTTATCTCAGGAGATTCATCGAAACCAAGTTTCTCTTCGTATCTACACTTAATCAAACATCTAATGAGTTGTAGATATGAAGAGCAAGATGGTGTGGCCTGTTTGGTCACAGCCTGCTTTAGCATTATAGTGTTGGTTAGATCTTGTTTTCGCAATTTGGTCGGAGCGTTAGGGAGACCTTGTGGAAAGTACCTAGTCTTGTGTTCTCTGTCATAGTATTCGTGATTTCCAGCATTGGACCATTGGCTAGGTTCATTCCCAAACGAAGTGGGGTTGAGAGAAACAGATGCGCCACTATAAAGTAGAAGAAAGAATAGAGGCGAGGAGTGATGCCACAACGATTGAACAGAAAATCGATCGAGTCACTTACCACTTTGATAAGTTGCAAATCTGTGTTTACGATGGTGCCTCTCATTGACGATGCCGACTAAGATGCCGGCGAAACGTTTTTGAATGTACTAAGCCAATCGTCCAATGCTAGAAATCATGAATACTATGGCAGAAGACATGGGACTAGGTACGTTTCACAAGGTCTCCCTGACGTTCCTACTAAGTTGCGAAAACAAGGTGGAACCAAATCTAATGATTTGGCTGGATGTCATATGCTATTCCTACATGCTTATAGACAAGTGAAGTGGATTAGGATTACATGTGAAGTGGCTGCAGATGAAGCGTAAAACGGATGCAATTGTGACCGATCAGTTTCATCCTCCCCTAAATTAATCATATTTTTTATTCGGCAATGTTTACGCATATAAGTGTTGGATAGGCTGAGAGAGAGAGGGAGAGATAGAGTTAGGGAAGAGGAGGAACCTTCGAGCAAGAGGAGACCGGGTTAGTCTGAAATCTGGTTTTCACTTTCACACTCTACGCGTTTCACGAGCATTGCATGCACACAACACCATGCGTCAACTTGCCAGGATCAAAAGTACAAGTTATTTAGGAGAGGATGCAGCTGTTCGGACACAATTACATCCCTTTCACTCTTCATCCGCAGCCACTTCACTTTTCAACAAGCATGCAGGAAAGGCACATGATATGCAACAAAGTCATGAGATGTCTCATTAAGTGGACAAAGTTAGGCTATAAGAAGTGCGAACTATCTATAGCTGCTGAGTGAATTTAATAAGAGCCAGAAAGAAACGATGAAAAACAGGATTCTTAAATAACCTCCAAACTATTTAGTGCTATCACACCTCGCAAGACATTAAAAAGTCACAGATACAGTGCACGATATCACATGCCTAAACAGGCGTCAACATGAAAGGATTGTAAGCTAACTAATTGTTAGGACAAATTTTTGACCACATCCACTTCATTTTAATACATTAATTTGATTTATCTACATGCAAGTAGGGTAAGCATAACGTAACCAACCAAGTCATCACGAAAGTAGGTTCAAAAAATTAGTGAGTTTGCAATCGGTCACTTATATTCTTGGTTATGTATAGTAATGCGATCTCATCTGGTGAGATTCGAATCTCTTCTTCATGCACTTTCATACGAAATGAAGGTCCCCCTAACAATGTTATCTCAGGAGATTCATTAAAACCCAATTTCTCTTCGTATATTAATGCGCTTTACGTAAAGCATAGTTTCCCGCTCTGACACTGTCTACCGCATGAGAGACGAAAGCTTACCTCGCGTTGATAGGAGTTGAGGCCGGTGAGCCGACGACTTCATCGCACAATCCAGCTGTCTTGACAATCCTCCTTCGGTGCCCAGTGGGCCCAATTCACGAATTCTTTCCAACAAACTTTTATTTCTAAATGAAAATTGGAA